GCTTTTTGCAAAAGCCGGCATCATTTCCGAGGAGCCGCCCGGCATGGAAAGTGACTCTGACAGCGAAGAAGGGGAAACTGGCATGTCTGATTTAGCGCAGCTGTTTAATTCAGAAACAGAGGATGATGACTTTGATGGGTTTGATTAATATTTTGTAATAAATACTTGAATAAAGCACAAACATACTCAGTTTTGCTCCCGCTCTATTTTTAAATACGCAGTAGAGGTATTTAAATCTAGTAGAGGATATGTATCGGTACGGTGCGCCTTATGGTCGTGAAAATACGGTGCCTGCCGAGGACACAAGTCCATACCCGCGTTCTTGAGAAATGAGAAACAGCCTGAACGTTTAGGGACAAATGACCAATTTCCAACCATCAGAAAAAAAAAAAATGACCCTGTGCAGAGAGGAAGAGTAGATCAAATAAAGTTTGCTGTTTATTCCGAAGACTTACTGGAGTTTTAGAGACTCGAACTTCTACCTCCGGCGTGAGGGAAAACAGAGCTTTGATGAGAGACGACTTTCCCACGTTGCTCCTGCCGATGAAACACACCTGAGAAGACAAACCCTGATGAATTACTTCCAGTCTGTTCAGCATGTCTGATTTCTAATATTCAACCATTAAACGAAGCTCTGAGCCGGAATTTCTTGATGAATTTCTGTGGTTTTACTCCGAAAATCTTCATTAAAATCTCTGAGAGTAACCGGCCGGCCTCGTCCCGCAGGACACGACTCGGACTCATCCGTCTCCATGACAGCGCGCAGACGGATAGAGGCCGGCGATGGCAGCCATCTGTGGATACATCTTCCTCAGAGACAGGCAGGGTGGGAACTAACCCAGCATGCCAAAGAGAGCCCACTGTCCCCTCTGAACGCTGTTAAATCTGCCCATTTATCATCGCCCGCCTGCTCCTGCTTACTAATGCATGAGGCTGCAGGGGAGTAAAGAGGCATTATGGGACATTTTTTACAGGCCGGGTCTATATATTAGGAGGACAGGGGGACATTTAGATGCAAAGTCTCTCGCTCTCATTCTTATTCCAGTGGGAGCAGATCCAGTCAGCTGGAGCAGCAGCTTCACCTTCCTGATTTAGACTACTTTAGTTCCTGTTTTTCTTTTCAGCGTCCTGCAGTATGATTTATTTTCACTCTGAAGGTGTGAAAAATTAAACCTACAATTTACTCATTAGGACATTTATAAGCAGGAATTAAAAAGTGATGATTTACTGATTCTCACATGGCAGAAAACCAGCGACTGGTTTAAAGCTCTACAGCTGGACCTGGGGAGCAAAATCCAGACGCTGTGCAGCTGTGGGCCGTCAGCCAGACGTGGTTAATGGCAGAATAATGGAGAGATCCACCAAAAACACTGGAAAAAATCGTCATTTTCTATTAAAATAAGTGCATTTATTCTTGGATTGAGGAGGTAAAAGAGATACTTAAAAATAAAAAAACATAATTGCATTGTCTTATTTCTAGAGCTCGTTGGCTAATTATCCTATGTTTAGAGTAAAAATACTCGTTCCATTGGTAGTTTATTTTATTTACCTACTCACATTAAGGTTAAATACACTTAATTTAAGAAATTTAGACTTATTTCTAGATCGTTTTTCCAGTGTACACTACAATAAAATGAAATTCAAATGTCATTTTTTCTTAAAATAAGTGCATTTTATCTTCAATTGAGGAGGTAAGTGAGACAATTTGCAAATGGAACAAAACAATTTACATTTAAAATGAGAAAAAATTATTGCATTGTTGCATTTCAAGTGCATATTATCCTATTATCTTATTTTAAGAGTAAAAATATTCATTCCAAAGCCAAATAACCTTATTTATCTACTCAAATTAAGAGTAAATACACTAAATTTAAGAAATGTTTACTTATTTCTAGATCGTTCAGTCTGAATTAGGAATGCATGTAGTTACTGCATAATAGGGGCCCTAAGATGGAACCTTGGGGAACGCCACACGTGACGTTTATGGTCTCTGATGTAAAGTTCTCTGCTAAAACTCTCTGTCATTGATGCTACGTTCAGAGCGCACGCAGCAGAGGCAGCGGAAGCAGCTAGTTTACTTGCAACATCAATGGTTGATGTATATTAAGGCGCAGTAAAAGGTCCTGCAGTGCATTTTGAGCAGCTAAAGCAATGCATCAAGAGCTTCTGAGCATCGGAGGTGCGACGTGCTTCAGAAGCAGCAGCTGCTGGAGTTGGAAAAATTGAATTTTTGCTGCTTGATGCGCCACACCCAACCAATCAGAGAAGCTGATCTGGGAGCTGGCAGGGAGACAGACAGCGCTGCTGATGCAGAGCGCTATGATCACTCCTCTGAAACAGTTTATAAATGCCTAAATTAACTTAAAATGTAGAAACCTGTTTGATTTTATTATTCTGGTGCCTGCAGCTTGGATTATGTATGAAAAAACGCCCCCTGGGCGCCACTTTTTACTACTAATATTTACTACTTTTTACCAAACTGATCACAGCAAATATAGCTGCCATTGTTACAGGCAAAGAAAGGATAGTGTAGCTCCGCCCAGCGTCCATCAGACCCACTGTCCACCGCGCAGCTAGAGCAGCAAAGATGCTTCAGCCGCGCGTCAGCACTACATTTGTAAAAGCATGAAAAATGAAGCAGCAGGCGCGTTTTTGCTGCTCCTGCTGCTTGTGGTCTGAACTTAGCATTAGTTTGGATTTAAACCAGTCCAGTACTGGACTAGAAGGATTGTCCCAGTTTTCATGGTGCTCTAATAAAATCAGGTGATCAATAATGTGAAACGCTGCGCTGAGGTCCAATAATACCTCCACTCTGGTTCTTCCAGAGTCTACACACTGCAAAAACGATCTGAAATTAAGTAAAAATATCTTAAATCAAGTGTATTTACCCTTAATTTGAGCAGGTAAATAAGATAGTTTGCCAATGGAATGAGTATTTTTACATTTAAAATAAGATAATTAGATAATATGCACTTGAAATAAGACAATGCAATTGTTCTTTTCTTATTTCAAATGTAAATTGTCTTGTTCCATTTGCAAAATGTCTCACTTACCTCCTCAATCCAAGTACAAATGCACTTACTTTAAGAAAAAAGAAGTTATCTAGATTTAAATTGTTTCCAGTGTGTGTTTCTGGTTTTAGCTCCTATTTTGCAGCAACCATTAAAGATTCATACAGGAGTGTAAAAACATTGAGCGGTCTGTGAGCTGACCTCTGGCTGCTTCAGAGCAGGAGCGTGATCCAGCCTCTCAGCAGAGGTGTAGTAATCGATCCTGTGAGTCGGCGAAGAACAGAAGAGCTTCTCTGCCTCCATCATGTCCTCCACCGAGGGATGAAACAGCTGGAACTGCATCCTGTCCACCGACCTGAAAAAATAACTCCGGCTGATTAAGGATCATCCGGCTGAGAGTTTGGGTTGTATGTCAGAGGAAGACAGCTCAGCTCCGCACCGGTCCAGGTGCTCCTCTAGGCCTCTGAAGGGGTACAGTAAGCTCTGCATCTTTTTGGGAGGCAGCGATGTGGCGTTCCGCAGCGAAGCCAGTTTGTGGATCCGTCGACTAACGAGGTAAAGTGGAGCCGCAGAGTGAAGCTGGAGGCCGATCATCATGGCTGACCTCAGAGCTGCCTGGAAGCTGGATGAAGCCCACAGAGATTTATGAGTTAGGGTTTTTTTTTTTTTAGCATAAGCAAAACAAACAAAATGACTTTACCATTAGCAAAAAGTAGTTTATTCAAGTATACTAAAAGTGCACTAAGTTCAAATCAGGCAGTGCACTTAAGAGTTTATTTATTCTAAACTATATTTCATATACTTAACAATAGTATAGTCAAGTGTACTTGACTATACTATTTTTTACTTTATTGTTAACTAAAGTATACTTTAAGTTTACTTTAGTTAACTTAAAAATGTCCCAATTTAGTTTGAAGAAGTATTACTTTAGTAATACTTCAATTACACTAAAAGTACATTGTTTGGTATACTTTATAAACCTATACTTAAGTATTCTTAATAGAATTTACTTCAAGTATACTACTTTTTAAAATGTTCGGTTAAAATGACAGGAAACAGGAGAAAAGATAAGTTTAAAAGAACGCCTAAAAGATGACCTCATTGTTTCCTTTCCATAATGAAGAAAATCAGGGCGCTATAAACCATAGAGAGGCGTTTGTTCATCCTTTTAATACTAAAATCCAAGTTCAGAAAAAAATGCAATTAATTCTGTCTAAATAAATATAGAATAATCTGCCTAAATAAAATCTACTGTTCTTACAAACAAAGATAAATTCTAAAGCTATATTTTTCTCTGTGTGTTTAGATGAGTTCATTTCACTAAACGTACCTGATCCTTTTAGTTTGAAGCTCCAGATGGTTTTTGTTAAAGTATTTAAGGCCATTCTAAACAGTTTATGAACACATTTCTGTTTGTAAATGTTTCACTTATTTTTTTCAAGTCATATTTTAGGTTGTTTTTTTATTTACTTTATCTATTTACAATAGTATATCGTAAAAAAGTATCTTCACATCTGCAGTTTTTTTAAGAATTATTTGTAAGCACTAGTGGCGCCTATTTTTGCTAGTTTTTGACAGTCAATAGTCAGGTGTTCTGTCAGACCATCATACCTCTAGTTAATAAGCATTCACAAGACCTCAGATTTGCGTTTATCCTTTTAGTTTTGTACGAAAAAATTTAAAGGTCATATCGCCTTACGTAAAAAAAAAAAAACACCAAAAAGTCAGTAATTAAATTGTTGATTCATTTTCTAAATGTATTAATCTGTCGATTACTTTTTTTTATATTTATTTATGTATTTTTTTATTGTTTTTTTTTTTATTATTATTTTTTTTAAATTTAATTTAATTTTTTTTTCTTTTTTTTATATATTTTTTTATTTTCTTTTTTTTAATCTGTCGATTATTTTTTCAATTAACTGATTCATAATCAGACACCCAAAAGAATTATTTTACAGAATTAAATCAGCTGAAACTAAAACTTTTTCATTTAAGGAGTCCTGGATTGATCACACTGACAGAAAAAAAAACATTTTTAAATTAGAAGTAAAATGTTTCTATATATTTTGGTATAATTACTGCTCTAAGTAGGTTCCTCTGTCAGCTATAAGCAACTTGATGCTCGTTAACTGGAGTCTCTATACTTCAGTTAACGACTAATCATTACTAAATTAGTTGACAATTATTTCAATAAATGATGAATCTGATTAAGTCAGTCCATATATCCGTCTAGCTCTGATATGGGTGTTTTTTTTTTGTACTTTCCTGGACCTTAAACCTCTTTTTTTTAATTCAAAAAACATTGAAGGATTCCAAGGACCCACGAGAACCCTGAAGAAATTCAGTTTTACAACTTCTATTTTCATTCAAAGCTCTTGTCTTCTACTTCTCTGCACTCTTTTTTATCTTTATCTTTAAGGATCACTTCATTTTGTGGAAAACCTGTTCCTGTTAGACTAAATAAATAAATATAAGAATTAACTTCTACACTGAAAAAATGTAGCTCTAAGTAAGTCATTTTTTTTCTGAAGATAAGTGAAATTCTTCTTGAATTGAGGACATAAGTGAGACACTTTGCCAGTGAAACAAGACAATTTACATTTAAAATAAAAAAAAAGATTAATTCTCTCATTTCAAGTGCATTTTATCTAATTATCTTAATAGATAAAATACTTATTTTATTGGTAAATCATGTTATTTACCTGCGTAAGGGTAAATAAACTTATTAAAGAAATGTTTACTGATTTTCAGAACGTTTTTGCAGTGTACAACTCCAAATATGTTTCCAAATAGCTTTAATCTAATCTAGACTTCTTTTTTATATTCTCCCCTGCAATTGTTTCCACTAATTGAAATGTCTTTCAATCCACATTAGCATGAATTTAACACACTGTAGTAAACAGATAAATGGAGGCAGAAGATTTCTTTCAGTCATCAATGGCAGTGGCGGTTCTAGACTAAATGTTCCAGGGGGCCAGGAGGGGGCCAGCGTGTTTTCATGGTGGCACAGAAAAACATTAAATAAAAAACAGAGCAAGAGATTCAATTATATTACGATAGCTGCATGAAGTGAAAGTTCTGTTCAATTATTCTTTTTAGGTCAATATACATTCACAATACAGGAATTATACCTATTTTTGACTTAATTTAAGTTA